GCGTAACATAAAGACTACTGGCTGTAGGAATTCCAACAGCACCCCCCTTTTGTTTAAAATAAGAGAGTTCTAATCCTAATACAAAATTATATACAATAAAAGAAAATATCTAGTTTATAAATTAGAATTACAACCAACATAATCAATATCAAGAAAAAAACATGTGATGAATGCTTCAATAATTATTCTAGCATAAGGAGTTTGCCTGTATTATAAATAACTTGGCCAAGACATGAGAGAAAAGTAACTACAACTCCCTAGTCTTCAACCCCATAGAAGACCTGAGAAGGGAAATAATATAACTAGAGTAAGCAAGAAGTGCAATCAAGCAACTTCTAAAATGTACAACAAATAACAGAGACAACTGGCTCCCTGGGCAATCACCCAAAGTCTAATTTGCAACATTGGAGCAACCAACTTTGGCTAAAGCCTAGAGTAACTGACAGACCATTTTCAGAGGCAGTAAATTTTTCAAAACTGTCTTTCCTTGTCTTGGCAAGATTTGACAGTCTTTTTTCTTGTATCCTGCTTGTCCTGCCTGGACATCATGTACTGTGTCATTGGTTGATGCATGGGCAGTTCATTGCCCAAAGGCCAGTTTTGTCAAGAAGAAAACAAGCTCCCAGTGGAGTGTCTTCAGTGCTCAACATTCTCTCAGGAATAGATCGGTTCTGTCAGAAACAATTGTGCCTCATGTCAAGAGAACTCTAAGTTATTCAAATGCCATTTTTGACAGCTCTTTGAAGTGGTTGCAGATTACTTATCTATGTAGAATACAACCTCTACATATCTAAAGAACCTGATTAGTCTATTTATAAGTATGACAAACATGGATCGTTGTTGACCTATAATTCTTAATACCTATATAACTTAAAGACTAAGACTTCATATTAGAATATTAAACAATCTTTAAACAATTGTGCAACAAATGAAGACAATAACCTAAAAATGTAAACAATATATAAATATCTTGATCAGAGGTAGAAATGCATATTGAACTTAAGCAGAAGTAGAAATGTATATGCATACGATATGACAAAATAACTTTTTTTGGTATAAAAATATTATAGAGGAAATTAGGAACATATTCAATAAAACTTAAGATGGCCAGAGCATTGTAAAAAAAGTCACTATTTCAGCAAACCAAGTCGGAACCATCTTGAGAAGCTGGTTCCCAAAACAGGTCTTATATTAATGTTATCAGGATCATGACATCATCATAATTAGGTGGAGTTGTTGTTGTTGTTGTTGTTGTTGTTGTGGGACCCCATCTTCTTCCTGGAAACTTCAAAGATTACTGTAGAAAAATTTATTGTTCATTGTGGAAAACTTAAACATCATTTATACAGACTGTATTCAATGAAAGGTACAGTAGAGACAAAAATAGGTATGAAGAAAAGTAATTCTTTTTCTAAATTCTTTATTTTTTTGTCCAATAACATGGCTTCTGACGTGAGACAGAAACTCTGAATTTTTGTTTTAACAACATGCTTTGATTTAGAGGACAGAGCCATTGTCCAACTCCAAAGACAGATTTAATTTTTAAGTGAGTCATGACTATTATGCTAGTTTATGTTTAGAGATTCTTAACCTAGATTGCTTGCCCTGTAGTAATGAGGAATAGCGGGCCACTTCCCGCCACCTGGCTAGCTTTATATTTTACCTTTATATAACTACAATTTCCAGCTTGCATCAGTTTTTAAGTGATAATAACTTATATAATATGTGTGTTTGTGTGTAGTTTCTGATTTGGTGTAGCAAATTCAAGTTTTTTCAGATAATAGCTTGATATTTATGTGCTAAAAGAAATATAAAATACATAAAAAGTCTATTAAAATATTCTGTTAAATTTATTTCAAAGCTCATCAAGTTTTGCAATAATTTGAGAAAACACATTCTAAATTTTTATATATTATACTCCCCTAGAGTTGAATAATAATCTCTATGTATTATCTTTAGCCTATATAACTGGTTACTATACAGAAGAGAATGCAAAGGTGCTTTGTAAGATTCCTTTCCTACAATGTACAACCTGAGTGTGCATGACTTGTGGAATATGATTAAAATTTTCGTAGCTTGATTAGGTTGTGTTATTTAAGACCAAATTAGTCACTCTTATGATCTGTTCCTATAAGATTTGAAGACTGGAACTGCGAAATTATAAAATTCATATGTAGGGATATCTCTCCTGGTCCCATAGCAATACTGACGAATATCTTTCATATCACCACAGAATCTTCATCTAGTGATGAATGGAGATAGAGACAGAGACCCACACTGGAGCACTGGACTGAGCTCCCAAGGTCCCAATGAGGAGCAGATGGAGGGAGAACACGAGCAAGGATGTCAGGACCACGAGGGGTGCACCCACCCACTGAGACAGTGGGGCTGATCTATTGGGAGCTCACCAAGGCCAGCTGGACTGTGACTGAAAAAGCATGGGATAAAACCGGACTCTCTGATCATGGCGAACAATGAGGACTGATGAGAAGCCAAGGTCAATGGCAAGGGGTTTTGATCCTACTTCATGTTCCGGCTTGGTGGGAGCCTAGCCAGTTTGGATGTTCACCTTCCTAGACATGGACGGAGGGGGGAGGACCTTGGACTTTCCACAGGGCAGGGAACCATGACTGCTCTTTGGATTAGAGAGGGAGGGGGAGAGGAGTGGGGGGAGGGGGAGAAGAGTGGAGGGAGGGGGAGGGAAATGGGAGGCTGGGAGGAGGCGGAAACTTTTTTTTCTTATTCTCAATAAAAAAAATATAAAATAAAATAAAAAAATTCATATGTAGGAAATCTGAGGAAGTCTGCTAGAGTTGCAAAGGATCTTGAGTAAAAAATGTTCCTTTATAACTCATGAACTGGAATCTTCTAAAAATCTACTAAGTGTGGAAAACGGATCCATTTTCAGAGTTAATAATATATCTTTGGCTTTCTGCTTCACATCACTGTGAAGGGAGGTTATGCAGAGGATTTACTTAACCTGTTCTTTAACCCATGACTCATAAGGTGATAACAGGAGCATGTATTATAGAGCTATCAATTATTGCTGACTTGTTTTACAGCAACATAAAAAGCATTCTAAGCATTCTATGTTGGCTCTTTTATTAAGAAATCAGTTTCTTAGTTTAATTATATTTTATACAATATTTTATGAGATGATCTGTATTGGCTTTCAAGAAACTCAAGTGATTTTGACAAATATATCTTTGCATTATGATTTTAATAAAATCATATATAAAAAAGTAAACAGCATGGTTTGAAACCAAGTTAATTTTTACCATTATATGTGCTTAGGTATTGTATCATAAGGATTTATTACTATTTACAAGTTTTTTCAAACATCTTAATTAATTTACAATGAAAATAGTGTATAGCAGTATGAATATTTCGAAGTAATTAAAATATTCACCATTGATAGCATTTATTTGTTGAAAAATTATATTGTGTACTTGCATGTATGATTTATTTTATATATTTAATTTGTGAGAAATATTGATTAGAATTTGACAACACTTTGCATAAACTGCCCAGACATAATTTAAGTAATATATTACATTAAAGCTGCTAAGTTCCTAATATACAACTTAATTTGCATGTAATATATCACTCTGTTTATTTGACTTTTTAACAATCTCTAAAATAATTATTAAAGAATGTCATCTTTTCATAAAAATATGTAGTTCAGTAGTGACAGATAAGATATGGATTCTTTTCTTTATTTTGTAGGACATTTTATCTAGCCATTCACTGACCTTCTGTTTCCTCTACATTATTAATATAGACAGAGACAAGGAAAAGTTGGATATTAAATTTCTCTTTGAAAATACTTGACAAGATACACAAAAAACAAGTGGGAAACTATAATATATTGAAATAGAATGTAGAACAATATAGCTCCTAAACCTGATGTCATTTTTCTTTTTTAATATAGCAAACAATTTATTTGTAAAAATAATTTGAATACTTAATAATAATTAACATTATCATAGAACTTTGGCACGTTTTTTTTTGTTTGGAATTTTATTATTTTATATATTCTCTACTCAGTAAACAGTGTGTATATAAATATGTTAAAATAAGTAATTATATGTTTCACAATGTGTTTCTTCTCAACTAAAATTGGCAACAGTCCTGTAGAGCCTTTGAATGAAATTATACTTAATATATTACTAGAAAACTAGTAGGTTTTCTAATTAGCTGTATGATGTATGTGTGTGTGTGTGTGTGTGTGTGTGTGTGTGTGTGCGCCCTATGGCAACTTTAACCTGCAGTTTAACCTATATGGCTCAGGTTATTTTTATAGTGCGTAGTCTGAGCATAAAGTCATAGACATGTAAAGTAGCACTTTAAAACTCCAGAGTTACAAACAGCAATATTAAAAAGGAAGTGGGTACCAAAATCTTCTGTATTTCTGTGATAGGTCAGATTATGTTTTTGCTTGGAAGATTATGGAACACTTCAGGACTTTTTACTAGGAAAGCAATTGACTGTATTAACTGGAGCTTAATGAGTCATTCTAGTAGGAGCATAAACAACACCGGTATTGAGGGTGAGTAGAACTGAGGGGGCTGACTGAAGATGTTTCAGAGGAAAAGAAGATTACTATACAGCCCAGATACCATTCTTGTAATATATTGGAGAAAAATGACTGCTTTCTTCCCTTGTGCAAAAACTCTGCCTAAGGTTTGAAGAATTATAGATTAGCAGCTTGGGTAAAACAGATTTTATCATTTACTTGTTTTTATTTTTGTTTGTGTTTTTGTTTTGTCTTATAGCTTTGAAGCCTGTTCTGGAGCTCTTGTAGACAAGGCTGGCCTCAAATTCACAGAGATCCACCCGCCTCTGCCTCCCTAAGTGCTGGAATTAAAGGTGTGCACCACCACCACCACCATGGCTAGGCAAAAAAGATTTTAAAACTGTCTAATGTTGACTATGTCATATGGTTATCAGTAGTCACGTATGCATATCGACCACGAAAAGTAGCAAGCTAAACAGGAAAAAGTACAAAATGTACAGTTTGTGGAGAAAAGAAGCACCAGGAAAAAAAGTTTAAAGAAAAAATCATCCTAAGTGAAATAACGGCAGTGTTGACTCAGGGTAAGACTTCACCCATTGAGCTTTCAAGGTATGAAAAGGAATTGAAGAAAGCTTAGGGCTGGGCATAATGCCTTGTGGATTCATTGTGCATTAGGAAGGCAGGGTCAAGTAGATCTCTGAGTTTGAGGCCAGTGTGGTCTAGACAGTCAGTTCCACAATGCAAAACTTAGACAAGGATGAAAACAAATGAAATGAAGAAGCCAGTGAAAATGTATTTGGTGAGAGAGGTCCATTTCCAGTTTCACAATGCAGAAATTAGAAGTCTGATCCACATATTTCTGGATTCAGAGTCAAGTATACAAGAAAGAGATAATGGAATCTCTTTCTGTGACAAAGGGAAGCTGTTGAGTCCAGACATGTGTCAGGGGTGTTCTTACATGGAGGCCTATAATGACCATTAAATGTAGCTGAAAAGTAAAAGTTAGCTTACCTTGAAGATGCCCAGACTTTGGAGATGCCAGGGTCCAGGAATATTTGTCATAGAAATCTTCTAACAGGGAATTGTGTTGGTCCATTAGCTCTAGCTTCTTATTGGCTAACTCTTATATCTTAATTTAACCCATTTCTTTTCATCTGTATATTGCCATTTGGTGGTGGCTTACCTGCAAAGATTCAGCTCCATAGCATCTCCCTTACTCTGCCCTTCTTTCTCCCAGCATTCAGTTCAGGCCTCACTCTTTACCTAAGTTCTGCACTACCAACAGGCCAAGGCAGTTTCTTTAAACATTAATGGTAATCACAGCACACAGAAGGGACTCCCGCATCAGAATGGAAACAATCCAAGAGAAAGAAGTATGTTTTAGTCAACAAAACTGAAGGACGTTGAATATCTCAAGAGCGTCTCGACATCAGACATAGATATACAGTGTTTGGAGCTTGCCCAGATGGTTTTCGGTCTTGTCCACTATTTCCTCAGTATGGTCTCTTTCTTCCCTTTTTGAATGGTAATGTATATCCTGTGCCACTGTATATTGAAAGTATGTGATTTTCCTTTTATTTTATTTATTTATTTATTTATTTATTTATTTATTTATTTTTGGTTTTTCGAAACAGGGTTTCTCTGTGGCTTTGGAGCCTGTCCTGGAACTAGCTCTGTAGACCAGGCTGGTCTCGAACTCACAGAGATCTGTCTGCCTCTGCCTCCCGAGTGCTGGGATTAAAGGAGTGTGCCATCATTGCCCGGCGATTTTCCTTTTATTTTGATTTTTTTCAGGGGGTTGCAGTTAAAAAAAATGGAACAAGTCATTCAATATGGCTACAAGTCTATGGGGGTAAGGAGTTTAATGTGGTGGTCTGAATAAAAACAGCCCCTATAGAATCATTGAGAGTGGCACTATTAGGAGAAGTGACTTTGTTGGAGTAGGCATGGCCTTGTTGGGAGAAGTGTGTCACTGTGGTGGTGGGCTTTGAAGTTTTGTATGCTCAAGTTACACCCAATAACATAGTTCACGTCTATTTGCCTTCTGATCAAGATGAAGAACTCTCAGCTCTTTCTCTAGCCTCATAAATGCTTACAATCTACCATGTTTCCTGCCATAATTATAATGGACTGAACTCAGAAATTGTAAGTCACCAACATTAAATGTTTTCCTTTTAACAGTTGTCATGGCCATGGTGTCTCTTCACAGCAATAAAAAGCCCTAACTAAGACATCATCCTCTCTCTCTTTCTGAGATCCTCCTAATCAGTCTATTTGTATCTTCACTATCATATCAGAGAACATGACACTTCCTCCTCAAGGAAACATTGAGAGGTTTTAGTTCCTAAGAACTGGATAGGATATCATATGTACCTCCTTTGTGCATGATGGAGAATTGAGCAGTCAACCCTTGTGCAAGCATCCATATTTTCTCACTGTAAATGGTTGCTTAGTAACATGATAGCCAAATGCCAGCTTTCATGGTCAACAAAATCCATCATTATTAGCCAAATTCTTTGCTGCAAGAGTTGTTTTACAGACCATACAACAAGAATAGCCATACTCTATTTTTAGTGATGGAGACAAAAACACTAAAATAAAGCAATTCCATATTAACATGTATCTATAAAGCAAAAAGTAACTATCCAGTTTTTCACTCAAAGTTGATTAAAATGATTAAAATCCAATTTAATGCCATTATATTAATTCTGAAACCAAAACTTTAAATTCATATCTTATTTAAGGAAACTATACCATAAGATATGATTTGTAAAACACTATGAAGTGTTATATGTGGAACAGAGTATTATAATGAATAGTTTTTTTTCTAGAAACTAGTAATCCAGAGCTGCAGTTACTTTTAAATGAAATAATGTAGTTTTAAGATTTGTTAAAAAAAATCCATAAATTTCTTCATTAATTCTAATCAGAATTAAGTTTGTAAATTGTAATCTTTAGAAAGAAGTGTTCTCATGTCCTAA